CCCTAAACATGCTGTACTAACCTGCCTGCAGAACTCCTGGTCTCTACACTTTACCGATCGGTGCAACATCATCGGGAAGTAGGGAGCAGAAGTCGGTTGCTTACTATTCTTGTCAATCATAATGTCTGGTATTTCGGCTGTGGTCTCAGTGAGTATGGTCGTTCTGCGTGCACGTTTCATGCCAGCGAAAGCCTTCTCACAGACCTGTTCAGCATCCTCCGTGGCTGTGATTGTTGTGATAGCTTTTCTCCCAGTGCGTGCTTCAGTTGTCCTTGAAACACCAAGCCCTGAAGCTAATGCAGAGAGTAGGATCCGTACAATGACTTGCTAGCCAAGTGAGTACCTATATGCGCACCTGCGGAGTGTTTCTGAACCGTAATCCTCAGCTTTCAGGCGATCATACATGCGATACTGGCTACTCGGATGCATCGTTCCCTGTGGAAATCGGCCCAGAAGAAGAATTCGCGAAATCCGGCTGACGGCTCACTTCCCACCATACATTTTAGAACATATCAGTCGGCATGAATGAGAACTAGAGATGGTGTTTATCGCACATAAGTGTCTGCAGCTTCCAATCCGAGTCGGAAGGACTTTGGCAACCCCAGAGATACTCATCTGCGGTATACCGTACTGTACTCAATACTGGTATTCCACTCCTTGAAATTGTACCTGATAACACTGGGATCCTTCAAGTGATGGTGTAGAGCGCCCGGAAGCGTTCAGGATGAGGCGCTCCTGGTATGGCTGATATAAGCCGAGATCTTGATGTTCTCGAGAAGAGCAACGTCCTCGGCAGCTTGATGGAGCACGAGCTCCATGTAACATGAATGCCTTTATCGAGGAAAGTCGAGTGGATATTCCCATTTCGAGGGTGTGTAGAGAGGATGGAAAGTTGGAACCCTTGATGTTCCAGGAAACAGACACATATACATCGAGATCTGAAGTGCCGGGCGAATTCGGCAGACGTACGACACTGAGACAGGGAATTTGTTGGCACCCTGATCTATCCCTGGCATTCCTGCGCTTCTTGCCACAAAACATGCGTAAGCATCAACACCGTCCACTGCTCTGCTGAACATGCGACATTGTTTCGGGCGTGTACACGAAGTACTGCAAGATGTCTCAGTCACTTACCCAATCCTCCTGCATGCTTTTTAGTAGCAAGGGATCGAAAAAATCCACGTCTGCCCACCCAGTGCAGGGCCCAAGAAGGCGTCGCGGCAAATCCGGCGGCCAGGTTGCCCAGGACAATTTGTAGGATCTAAGATATGCAGACACGGGTGTCAATTCCGTGGCAAACGCACGGGGTACTCATCGGATCGTAACTACTCGTATATAAGCAATGCGCAAATGTGTTACACATGAGTGTAACGATCCTGGGAAAATGGAACAGGACGGAGTCGAACCATCCAAGCCACTTCTCTGGTCGAAAAGACTCTAAGCCTATCACTTCTCGACTCTCGAATCCTCTCGTGTATTTCGGGCGTAACCTACGACTCAAAGTCGTCTTTGCGTTCACCGAAATCTCACACAGTGATAGCACTACCGAACTTACGTCTACAAGGCAGCATAGATATTCTCGCGCCAGGAGCTTCGCTGTGCGGTCCTCAGCTAAATCCGAGCTTTATCTCAATGTCACCACCAACGCGCGACGCTGCGCTAAGGAAGGCAGTTGCCGAGAGTCTGATCTTTTCTTGGTGTAACACTCCCCCAAAGTACTACTAGCATTCTACATACACAGTGAGGCAAGTTCATCGAGTCAAACCGACCGCTTTTCTGTCTTTCGAAACACAAGAAGTATTTTACAACTATCTGTAACGTAAACTGTTAAGAACAATCATTTACATACACCTCGTCTTTGAAGGAACTAAACGCATAGCTATAGACACCTCAGCTGAAAAACTAATCAAGGAGCCCCACCTATATGACGCTCCAAACACCAAATAAATCAGCGCGAATTTTTTGGCGATTGAACTTTTTTTCTTAGTCATCATGTGCGCGATTTTTTTTGTCGAGGCCTCGCACAACTTTTTCCGAGGTTACCAATCAATTGACTATGTGTGCAATTCAATGACATGCTTTCCCGTTGTGGGACATGCGGGCTGGGTGGGGGGATTACATCAGCGCGTGTCCCGGGACACGGCGGCTGTGCCGATATCCCGAACAGCGCGCGCCCGCCGTGGCTGGCGACGTTCGGGCGGTTTTTGGATGACGAGTGCGCCCGTTGGATCGTTACTTACATAATGTGGTGTGTACCTAGCTTACGACGTTCGGCAATACATTCCGTTGTAACCTAAACGGGTTGACCTAAGTGTGTAATGCGTCCCATGAAGTGAGGCGCGTCGACATAATCCCGGCGGGCTTGCCAAATCGGGACGCGTGTCCCATGAAGGAGGAAAGCTCGACTGCTTCATGGGACACGAATCCCTATGGGCCACCTGTTTTTTCGCATTTATTGGCAGGTGGCCCATAGGGATTCGTGTCCCATGAAGCAGTCGAGCTTTCCTCCTTCATGGCACACGTCCTGATTTGGCAAGCCCGCCATGATTATGTTGACGTGCCTCGCTTCGTGACGCATTACACGCTTAGGGCAACTCGGATATTGCCGAACGTCGCCAGCCACGGCGGGCGCGCACTGTTCGGGGTATCGGCACACGGCGGGACACACGCCGACGTAATCCCCCCACCCAGTCCCATGACGGGAAAGCATGTCATTGAATTGCACACATAGTCAATTGATTGGTAACCTCGGAAAAAGTTGTGCAAGGCCTCGACAAAAAAAATCGCGCACATGATGACTAAGAAAAAAAGTTCAATCGCCAAAAAATTCGCGCTGATTTATTTGGTGTTTGGAGCGTCATACACCTATGGAGAACAATTAATCGCGATGAAACAGACCGTCTGCGTGAGTGGTCAAGCATAAGCTGCACTATTATCTGCCAATTACAACATTTCGAGTAGCGATGTAGGATATAACGCAACTGTGGGAGAAACAACACGTGCAAACTTTGTGCCATGTACCATCAGCGTTCTCTGTCACACAAATTCCGTAATGGAATGATTGATCCTTTTTGGATCTGCAAACAAGTACCGTCAGTTTCTGTTCAAAGAGGTTGACATCCCCTAGTCTGTTTTGCGGAAGCCTGGGGGTTCCATCCCTCGTTGGTACTGCTCGAATCTCCGAGGCAATCGCAAAGTTCTCTGCGACTATGTCCCAATTTGCCGTGACACTCCTCCCAGCTCTGTCAACTGCTTCCGAATACTCAGTACCTCTCTGTACCTGTGAAAAATCTCCTGTAATCCCAAGTTTCCCAGTATACGTCTCAATGCCCTCCCAGTTTTGGACAACAGTGGTAGGGGCTGCGCTGATGAGCTCCATCTTTGGTAACTTCACCTCCCACAACGGTGCGTTGTCCACTGCTGTCATGATGGCGTTGTCGTCACTTCTGTGCAGGATTCGCGCGTTTTTCCCATGATAATGGTCCGCTTCGTAGGAGGGGTGCTCTGTGGGAGCATCTAGGTTCATCATCCCAGACCAATGGCCGGCATCGTGTTGACCGCTGTTTTGCGGTAGTAAATTGAAGGTGAGTGTGTCGAGGACATCCTTGTGGGACATCAGATACATGAGATTCAGTAGTGCGCCGGTTCTGGGGAGGCTATAGTCCACACGTAATTCTCTAAGCGACCAACCAGGGCGCCAAGCACGCCATAGACCTTATCGACGTCGACGGAACTACTGCGCTTGCCAGCCTGCAGTAGTGCACGCTGGGTGTTGGACTTGGATTTGGGTGAAAGACAGTTTATCACATCCTGGACCGAAAGCCGTGGATGTGGTGAGCTGAGGTATGGAGACATCATCAGGATCGCCAGGTAAACTTCGTTCCGGGTGAAGATGCGGTCTCCGAAGATGAAGAGGATCAATTTGGGGAGCTGGAGCTCCTGGTAGGTCCATACTCGCTCGAACCAGTTACTAACCCATGCCTTCTTCCCATCATCGTAGGTGTGTACGAGCTCTCCGAACTGATGGTCCGGTTTCAATGTCCCGAAGGCGATAGTGCCAACGCTCCGAGAGAATATATCCACCATATGTGGGATTTGTTCTTGCTTGTCTGCTTCAGATTCCTGGTCAATGCAGACCGCATCGATCCACACGTATTCTCCGTCACGTTTAGAGACAATCTGCGACACTCTCTTTAGCATGTCCTGGAATCGTTTGACATCCGAGAACGCCTTAGATGCCCAGGTGCACCCAGTCACAAAGAGATTGCAGGGTACTCCATTGTCCCAGACGTGCGAGATTGCCCAGGTACGACTCCATTCTACACTTTCTAATCGGTGTATGTGGACGGAATGAGTCCGCAACTGAAGCAACCGGATCGACATCAGTTCGCTGAGTTACACCTGTAAGGTGGGAGGTATGTCAGTTGCCTGTGGAGGACTACAACGAGGTTTAAACTAGCACTCAACTGGTGCAGTAAGTTCGAAGGGGCATCGGGCCTGATTCAAGTCCCGTTACTATATATACGGGTAGCATGGGCGCAATATCAGTGCTGAGTTAGGTCTTTCCGATAAAGATATCGATAAGCAATGGCATAACGCCCGTAATAAAGAGTCTTCCATTCACGATAGCAGCGACATTGAGGACCTGTTGATCGATGGGACATCAGTTAGGCCAACTCCAGAGTACGAACGATCATCGAGGGGACCACTTACAATTCTGCTCTGGCGCTGACGGGCGAGACTCTACAACATGCATATGGGCGCCATTGCCGTGTAAGTAGAGGTAGTTTGCTAGAAAAGTCCACCGTTTCGTTAGTACTATAGCGGGATTATGACGCTTGGGACTGGAAAACACAGCCAGTGTCAGGCTTCAGCCACCTTTCCTGATGTGGAAGGGGCGTGTGTCACTCGTGTGTCTCGCAACCAGCTCGACGATTGGCAGAGGAACTTAATGTGCTCGGGGTAAGGTCTCATGCATAATATTTGGCATGCATGTCAGTTCTCTGGTAGTATATCGGATAGTACACCCGCCTGTCACTGTTTGTGTAACGCGGGAGAGCGGGGTTCGACTCCCCGCCAGAGAGAACTATTTTTAAACTTTTGTCACTCATTGAAACAGCCAGAATAACCATGTGGAATTCGCAATGTGGGGGGGAAACATAACATGCGGCATAACTCAAGACATGGAGAGGCAAGTATGGTTCTGGCCTTACTCGGGTGCAGGAGGTATGTAGGGCGGCGGCCTGAGCTCAGGAAGCTGACAAGCATCCAGCAATGCGTGGTAACTTCCCTACATAGTGAGCCGCCCAGCACTGTCCCAAGTTCTTACACAAACATGTTCTTGACGATACAGGTAGACTAACATTTGTCTACCACGAGTAATGTTAACGAGGGACGATAAGTTGGCACCTTGATCTTGACATCGGAAATCAATAATTATCCATCTTCACGAAGTGAGACTGAGTTTTGTGATCCTTGATCAATGCATCATTCCAGGTGCAGGAGACGTACTAGCGCCTGAGGTCTGAGGGATTGCGTGGCCGTAATGCCCTAGCCCTATCATCTCCGTTTGGCGCTACATACCTACTAGTACTAGTACAGTCCTAGTACGCCGTCAATTTGTACCTCATCCTTCGACTTTGAACACTTTGACCATTGTCACAACAGGATGTCTTGCCTTGGCACTGGGGGGATTGAGTCGTTCGACAACGCAAATGACATTCCTGTACGTCTTAATTGAAGCTCCAGAAGAAATTCCGGGCTCCTCACAGATCTGTAGCATGAACTCCAGCGACTACCGTGCACCTCCGCAGCGTCTTCCGAAAGTTCCGTCGATAAACTAGACGCACTGGTGCAACACGTCTTGCTGTGGTGCGCTCACCTGTGCAACGCATACCTCCTGAAATATTAGCCTATATCTTTGACCTTTGTGTCATCCGCGGGAGCGACCCTCAACCCACCTCTGCCCAAGCCCCCCTCTACCTCGCGCGTGTATGCGGGACTTGGAGAGAGATCGCGCACTCGTGCCCACATCTCTGGACGCACATCAACATCTCCTTTTCCGAGAAATGCACCAACCGCGCGACAGACGTGTCCAAAGCCAGTCTAGCTCTGGACGTGTGGCTGAAGATGTCTTCCACATTGCCGATCTCCTTCATTTTTACCGATCATCGGATCTACCATCCAGACACCCAGGATCTGATTCGTTTGCTCGTCGATCGCCTGCGACAAAATTCACGGCAATGGAAGAGCATCTCCCTTCAGCTATCTAGTGCTTATTTTCCTACACTCTTCACTTTCACACTTTGCGACTTGGCATCTCTTGAACACCTCTCTATCAATAGCGAGGGAGATGTCCTCACAATTCAGACGAGAGCGCATCTGAATCTGACATATGCCATGAACCTCAAGTCACTTGCTTATGGCGCGCTTGGGGATGATGTTCATGATAGAATCAGCATTGCTTGGGACCAGCTTACGGAAGTCTCATTCGAATTCACCCCATCGTGGGGAATAAGCCCCCAGGTACCAGTGTCTCGGCACTTCCCACAACTTGCCCAGTGCCAGAACATAATCACTTGCTCATTGGGCATCGGTGAACGTGTCCGCTCCCGGACAGCGGGTAGCATCACATTACCATTATTACGCACCTTCCGCATCCGTCGACTCTCGCCCAGAAGTCACGTACGCTCAGCCATCGATCCTCTTATCCTACCCCAACTACAAACACTCGAAATCGATGCTGCGCTTCTCGTGGTGGGTTGGCCCCCGAGGTGGCATGACCGTCAATTTTCAGATCTCTTGGCTCGTTCATCCTGCAGCCTCCAAAATCTCTCCATCAGGGACGTCTATTTTCCAGACGAAGAACTTTTCCGCTGCCTAGCTCATTCTCGCGAGCTGAAATCGCTGTGCTTTATGCCTTGCCCTCGGACTCATGATATCCTTGCTATCACCAGGAAACTGGACGTGTCACGGTCGGCGGGCGCAGACACTGCCGTCGGTCGTGTCGGAGCATATTTACGAGAGCTCAAGTTGGCGTGCACGAGCGAGAGCTGTTTTGAAGTGATCATGAAAATGCTTGTTTCACGCGTTGGCGCGAGCGCCCGTGCCGCGGGGGTGGATGCTCTCCGGCGCTTCGAGTTGGTGTTTTTCGATTTATCGACTGAGACGGCGTCAAGCGCTAGGTCTGCCCGCTGGGCGAGGCTGGATATATTCAGGGACAGCTTGGAACAAATTGCTGCTGTCAACGAAAATCTGGAGGTTAAATTTGTTGTAGATGTTCCATATCTTCCACAGTACGTCGACATCACCTCGGGGAGTTGATCCTCGTCGCTGTGGTTCGTGTCGTACACCATCATATATTCCTGTAGCTGTATGACTTGGTAATGAAGCTTTGGAGTTCAATCAGTGGTCTCGGGCAAAGAGCACCACGCGAAGGACGTGGCCAAATAACTTGATCGGCTTTAGATATGTGGTTGAAGAGGCCTTCTGCCTTGCTGGTCTCTCTCTTTTACCGATCATCACGTCTACATCCAGACATCCGAGGGTCTGAGCCATTTGCTCTGGCTCCGACAGTATTCGCGGCGATGGAAGAGCATCTCCGTTCGCCTGCGATGTGGTTACTCCCCTCCACTCTTCACTTTCACACCTTGTGACGTGGTGTCGCCATCCCACCTCCCTCCCAGATTTCCCTGTGTCAACGATGCACGTCGTCTCAAGGATTCCGGCTCTCATGAGTTCCGAAGAGATCGCGCCACGACTCGACTGACATCTCGGGTCAGCAGACCAGGCCGATTCCGTGTGCGCGTTGACTCATGCAGTCGGTGATACAACGTGAGGCGCGCCGCCGTGCTGCTGGCAGAGAATGAGCACCTTGTCATTCCTCGGTGGCACCTTCTGGCGCTCCTGCTCCTCGCCAGGCGCGTAGAACACGTCGTGTATATTCTTCGGCTGTTCTATTTCAGCCATGGGGCTGACATGATCCCAGCACCGAACTGGAAGGTGTACACCCCCTCAGACTAGATAGTTGTCCTACATAGGTACTACACCCACAGGGGACATTAATCGAGAAAAAAAAAAAAAAAAAAAGGTGTACACCCGAGGTGGGGGCGACTGGGCAACGGCATCAAAATTGGACATATTCTGTAGCCTGAGTACATCCATTATCTACCTGCCCCCATTTCACAGTCCCGTACCACCGACCCTCCATCTCTCTGCAGTGGAAGTCCACTTCCTCAAAGGCTTCCTTCCCCCTCAATCGACCCTATACTTCTCATACTACCTCCCGGACGGGACGTCGACGTGAAAAATAGGGAACGACTCAAAGTCAATCAATTACAACGAACGAAACATCCAGGTTTTCGGCACACGCTCTCGAGTCTCAAGCCGTCGCGAAAACGATTCATCTTCTCCGGGAAAGTCGACTCGATCTCGACACTTAATGCCTCCTTCGGTATTGATAGCTCTGCGCGGCGCAGCAGATCATCCGCCCATTCTGGAACCGGTCCACTCCGTCCCACGGTATAGATCTTCGCCAGGAAAGACTCAACCTCGGCACTTAATATCTCCGTTGATACAACCATCTCTAAGCGCTGGAGAGCATCCACCCCTGCCGCATTGGCGCTCGCGCCAACGCGCGAAACAACCATTTTCATGATCCTTTCAACCGTGGTCTGACTCGTGCACGGCAACTTGAGTTCTTGTAAACGTGGTACGATAGGGCTGACGACAAGTTCTGCGCCAGCCACCCGCGAGACGTCCAGTTCGGAGGATATATCGTATCGAGGGCAAGGGATGAAACACAACGATTTCAGATCGCGAGAACGAGCGAGGCAACGCAGAAGTTCGTTAATTGGGAAGTAGACATTCTGGATATGTAGACGTTCGAGACTGCAGGAGGAACGAGACAAGAGCTTTGAAAATTGACGGTCATGCCATCGCTCGGTCCACTGCGTCACCAGGGTCACAGCGTCGATTTCGAGTGTTTGTAGTTGGGGTAGGATAAGAACATCCATGATTGAGCGTGCATGACACCCAAACGAGATTGGACGGACACGAAGTGTTCGTAAGTATGGCAATGTGATGGGTTGATCGGCACGAAAAATTTTACCAAGGCCCAATGAGCAAGTGGTTATGTTGCACTGGGCGAGTTGTCTGAAGTACCGACAAAGCGTCTTGGTTATCCCAGGACGTGAGGCAAATCCCAATGAGACTTCCGTAAGGCGGTTCCAAGCAACGCTGATCCTATCATCAACAGAATACGGAGGTCCATCATAAGCGAATGACTTTAGGTCCGTGGCAGATTCCAGATTCAGATGCGCCACCGTCAACCGGCCCTGGTCAACATTACTCCCATTGATAGAGAAGTGCTGAAGAGATGCCAAGTCGCAAGGTGTAAAAATGAAGAGTAGAGGAAAGTAATCACCCGGGAGCTGAAGGGAGATGCTTTTCCATCGCCGTGAGTTGTTTCGAAGCCGTTCGACGAGCATGTATATCATCTGATGAGACAAATGAGATAGTATGAAATCCTCAGGCACATGTCCAAAGCCGGTATAACTCTGGACACGTCTTTCGTGCGGTTTGCGAACGGGTACGGGTAAGAGTCGGAGAAGTAAAAGCTGATGTCCGTCCAGAGAATTGGGTATGAGTGCACGACCTCTCTCCATGTCGCTTCCGTGAATGGCACAAAAGTGAAAGATATTGGCTAATATTTCAGGAGGCAGGCGTTTCACTGGTGAGCGCAGCACGGCAGGACGTTGCACGACCGCTTCGAGCCTATCGACAGAATCTTTGGAAGATGTTGCGGAGGCCCATGATTCATGATACCCTTCTAGACTGAGGCCTGAGGACTCGGAGGCGTGGGTGCTGGAGTTGGTCCCTCAGAGAGCGCAAAGCTAAGGCGATAGCATTATCCGGAGCTTCAGCGATTGCACGGTCAACTAGCAGTAACTGGAGTTCAATCTACCGAACGAATAATGAGGCTACAGGTCAAAATTTGGAGGTTCATTGAGACGTACAGGAATGTTGTCTAAGTTGTCCAATGACTCAAAAAGCGAGAGGTCGGAGTCGGTGGTAGGGCAAGACA